GGCCAGAGATTGTACATTGGGAAGGGGAATACGGTGGGTAGGGCATTTGACTTGCATGCAGCTGACCCGGATTCGATTCCTAGCATCTCATATGGTTTCCTGTGCACCGCTAGGAGTAATTCCTGAGTGCAGTCAGGAGTAACCCCTGAGCATTGCCGGGTGTGGGCCCAAAAAACAAGACCAAGAAAAAAATTCTTAGTGTTTTGTCCTGGTGAGATGATTGGCGACTCATGGCTGTGGCTATACCGTACTGTCTTCTAGTCAATCCCTGATTCAAAACCTTAAGATGTGAGCAAACTCGGGTGAAACAACACGGCCAGAAGCAGATTGTGCACAAGCTTGAGTGTCATGGGGCAGACATGGAGAAAATCTATGTCCTGAGTCAGATGGGATCAGGAGGGGTCAAGGAGAACGGTATCCCAAAAAGAAAGTGATCTAGAAAGAGGGCAAGAGGCAATGTTTAAGAATCACTTCAATCTTTTCTGAATCTATTGGGGGGGGAGAGCGGAGGAAGGGCTGGGGCCACACTATCTGTGCTTAGGTCACTCCTGGCCAGTGCTTTGGGAGACTATATGAAGCACCTGACACTGACCCAGGGTTGGCTGGATGCAAATAAGTGCTTAGCCCCTATCGTTACAGTTCAATTATTTTTCAACGGACTCACTATAATAAAATAGTTGTTGGCACACATCCAAAAAAACAAAAGCAACCAGTGTTGGCGTGGATGTGGGGAGAAAAGGACTCTCCTTCATTGTTGGTGGGAATGCCAACTGCTCCAGCCTTTTGGAAAACAATATGGACATTTCTCAAAACACTTGAAATTGAGCTCCCATTTCATCCAGCAATACCACTTCTGGGAATATACCCCAGGGCACCAAAACACACAGCAGAAACACCATCTTCACTCCCATATTCACTATAGCATTATTCAGCATAGCCAGAATCTGGAAACAACCTGAGTGCCCAAGAACAGACGAATGGATAAGGAAACTATGGTACATCTACATACACAATGGAATACTATGCAGCTGTTAGGAAAAATGAAGTAATGAAATTTGACTATAACTGAATGGACATGAGTCAGGAGAGGGACAGATACACAATGATTGCATTCATTTGTGGTATATAAAATATATATATAATAAAAGACTAATATCCATTGTCAGGGAAAAAAGGAAGTAGGAGGACTGGTCAATGGTTGGATCTAACCAAAACTGTGTGGGGCTGAGGGAAGATAAGATAGATAAGAGACCAGTATGACAATAATAGCTGGGAATGATCATGTTGGAGAAGAACTGAGTGTTAAAAGTAGGTAAAAAGATATTCTCAATAACCTATCAGTATCAATATTGCAAACTACAAGGCCCAAAAGGAAAGAGAAAGAAAAGCACCTGCCATACAAAGGGGGGCGGTGGAGTTTCCCTCCCCATCCAAGCAGAACCTCCGCAGTTGAAGACCTCCAGAACTCAACCGCATATCCATGCTCAAGGCTGCTCTCCACAGGCTCAGGCAAGCCTCACCTATGAGAGAACCTGCAGAAAAACCCAGGTATGCGGGACCCGTGACTGAGACCTCCAGGCTTGCTCAGAATGGGACTGGGCCTCCTCCCAGCTCCCCAGTTTTCCAGTAGCTTGGCAGTCACACCCACAAACTGTCTCTGGCGCCATATAATCTCATCATCGGCCAAGATCCAAGACCTCTTATACTCTACATGCTTGTTAACAAAATAGGAGACTAACACCCAAGAATAGCTAAGTACCTGGAGGTTTACTCCATAGCTTGGAAGCCATCCGCAAACACTAGGGGAAAAGGAAGCTCAGATAGAGAAGGGAGCACCAAATAAATGGTATTGGGAGGATCCTCCCAGGATGGAAGATGCATGTTGAATGTATACTATAGACCGAACATGATTGCCACTCAATGCCTCCGCCTCCTTTGCAAACCACAGCACCCAAAAGGAGAGAGAGAACAAAAGAGAATGCCCTGCCATAGAGATAGGATGGGATGGGGGGATGGAGGGTGGGAGGGATACTGGGATCAGTGGTGGTGGAAAATGGGCCACTGGTGGAGGGATGGGTACTCAATCATTGTATAATTGAAACCCAAACACAAAAATTTGTAAGTCTACAACTGTTCCTCATGGTCTCACTAATAAAAATAAATAAAAAATATATGGGGGTATGGTGCCGCCAGCAGGTCAATCTGTACCTGTGAGGCGAGTGCATCAGCAGCCTCAAGGCGCCTTCAGACTTCCAGATACCCCAAAATTGCTGCTGTGCCTTTGGCCAGACCCCAAAAACTTGGGGCAAAGTTTACCAAGAAAGTAAACGGCCAAAAGTTAGGTATGTGGGAAACACACCCACAAACCACCTCTGGCTCAGCTATATAATTGGAGGCAAGGCCTCTTTGGTTCCTGATTGAACTGCTTAATGGACATGATCCCAGAGACTCAGAAACGAATCTCAGAACACAGTGGCTTTTGGTAGAAATGTGTCTGGTCTTTGCAGTAGGCTACTGGTGCTGGGCCAACCCAGGTGGGAATAGGTTTCGTGCCTTGACCTGTTCCCCCTGGCGGCCCAGTGGCTGCCATCCGTCTGAGGCCACTGGATAGTCACATTTGGGCCCCCAGTGACGAGACACACAGGGCCTCACGGGATGGGGGTGGAGCCGGGCTTGTCCTCCCCACCCCAACGAGACCCCAAGTCATCGCCCACGAATGGCCTCTCTGGCTCCTCATCAAGCTGATTAACAGCCATGATCCCAGAGACTCAGAAACAAATCTCAAAACCCAGTGGCTTTTGGCAGAAATGCATCCGGACCCCGCAGTAGGTTACTGTCGCCAGGCCACCCCAGGGGGGAATGGGTGCTGTCCCTCCGCCTGCTCCCTCCTGGCGACTTGGTGGCTGTCATCCTCCAGAGGCCATTGGACAGTCAGGCTTGGGCCCGCAGTGACGAAACTTGTTGGGCCTCACGGGATGGGGTGGGGGGTGGTGGAGCCGGGCCTATCCTCCCCACCCCAACGAGACCCCAAGTCATCGCCCACGAATGGCCTTTCTGGCTCCTCATCAAGCTGCTCAACGGCCATGATCCCAGAGACTCAGGAGCAGATCTCTAAACCCAGTGGCTTTTGGCAGAAATCCCTCCAGATTTAAGTGTTAAAATTTCGGAATTTCAAAACCACATGGCCCTAGTGCAGCCACATGACATCATGTTATTCATAACCAGCAATAGAACACAAATTGTCTATTGTTGCCTTTTCAGCAGATCTGAGTGTTGGGGTAAAATCTCAAATAATGGTGGGTCTGGTGTCGAAATAGTGAATGTGTTCAAAGTAGAGAGAGAGTAATGTGAAAATCATCTGCCCCACAGGCAGGGGGAGGGTGTGGGATGGGGGTATACTGTGGTTGTTGGAGGTGGAGAATGGGCACTGGTGAAAGTACGGGTGTTTCATTGTATGACTGAGACTTAGACCCAAAAGTTTTGTAACTGCTCTTACTGTGATTCAATAAATAAAATTATAAAAAATGGAAAAAAATATAAAATACATGCTTGTAATCTCTTATATAAGGGCTCCAGGACAAAATACAACAATCTCCATACACTTTCCTCTTACGGTATTGGAAAGGTGCTCGATAGTGGAATTGGTATTTGAATATTAACTGTAACGAACTATTGTGAACAAGTTTATAAAAACAAAATTAAATTAAAAAAAGAAAAGCACGTTCCATAGAAGCAAGTAGGGGGTGCGTGGTGGTGGCGGTGATGGGAGGGAACCTAGAGACACTGGTGCTGGGAAATGTACAGTGGTGGAGGGATGGGTGTTGGAATACTGTATGACTGAAATCCAATCAACAGCTTTGTATCTATCTCACAGCAACTCAATACAAAATGTTTTAAAAACACGGATGCAAGAAATAGTTATTCCAATATTCAACATCAAACAAAAACAAAGAAAAGGCAGAGCTATACTTCAAAGGGAGCACTGTTTAAAAAGCAATAGAGCATAGAGCATCCCAAAGGGCCCCCATTTTGCTTATGCAAAATCTTACATTTTTAGGATGCTTTATAACAAATTCTTTTTTTTTCCTTTTTGGATCACAACCGGCTACGCACAGGGGTTATTCCTGGCTTTGCACTCAGGAATTACTCCTGGTGGTGCTTGGGGAACCATATGGGATGCTGGGAATCGAACCTAGGTCGGCCACTCACAAGGCAAATGCCCTACCCTCTATACTATCGCTCTAGCCCCTATAAAGAATTCTTAAATTTGTTTCCCCACCTCTCCCACAACAGGTTTTATTTTAGAAGGGCTGGCAGTAATGGTCAACCATGTCTATTGATGAAGGGAAATAATTTTATCTGGCAAAGTTGATTCAAATGGAATGATACTCTCTTGTAATTCCTACCCCCAAGAATAATAACTAGATATGAGAGGTATGGTTCATCCTACTATAATTCAGATAAAATGCATGATTACCATACTTCTAATTCTCAGTATAATCTGGCATCAAATACTTGGCTTTCTGCCCCCTTTTGAGTATTGGCGCACATCCATGGTGCCCAGGGATTTTCCCTGGCTCTCAATTTGGGGGTGCTGGGAATCAAAGGTGGTCAATGTAAGAGAAGCACATTAGGGGCTAGAGTGACAGTACAGAGGGTAGGATGCTTTTCTTGCACATGCTGCGCATTTGATCTCCAGCACACATAGGATTCTTCAAGCCCCACCCCCCAGGGGCGACCCCTGAGCACAGAGCCAGCAATAAACCCTGAGCACTGCCAAGTGTGGCCCAATCCCCCTAAAAGCATCTTAAGTATTTTACTGTCTCTTTGGCACCCTACGCACCCACCCCATACTTACAGCTGATTAAATCTTACTTAATGTCTTATCTGGGTGGATGGAGCAAGTAGTATGGAAACAGGACATGAGACAGTGAAATACCTAGACCAAAGTTTTGGCAGAGGCACCAAGAGTTATCACAACAGGCCTATGATCACACACAGACAGATCACCATTTGTTTTTATTGATTTCTTCTAAAGAGTCAAATCTTTTTTTTACAGTTTATGAAAGGCCAAATAGGTCCAAGGAAGACAAAAATTAAATAGTTAAATTAAAAGGCACTACGCCACCACCTATAACCTATACCCCAGGGGTAGCAGGCTATGGAAGAGTACGCTACAGTAATCTCACGGAAGTGGTATAGAATACCTAGAGGAATTCAGTTGTTTTGGAAGACTGTGATAACATGATCAGCTGGGTTTCTGAGGACATTTGGCCAGGAAGATGTAGCTAGTTCAGTGAGGCCAAAGGTAAGGATAAGTATAAAGAAGAATCCTTGTCATTGAATCACCTGATTGTGATTAATTAGGCTTTTTTCCCTCTCAAGCCTTTGTTGTGCTGTGCACTGGCTCCCCTTGGGTGCCAGCTGAGCACTGCTCAAGCTAGGTAGAGAACCACTGCATACAAGGATTTGGCAATCAGGTCTTAAGCAATTATTTGACATAGACTTTAAAAACCTAAGAGACTTAGGACTGAAGTGCGGAGCGGGGAGGGTGGTGTTTGGAGCAATGCTGGGGTTGGTTTTCTTATTAGCAGATCTGAATCATGGAAGCCCAGAAATATTGTCATGCAAATATTTGTGAAAGATCAGATAAGCTTTTCCAATCCCCAGCAGCCCTCCACAACACCCTGCAGCTGCTAAATCTAGCAAAAGCTGAACAGGAGTAAAAACTGCAAGACCTATTGAACTCAAGCAGCAAGAAGAAAGGAAACGATACAGCGGGAAATCTGAGTTATTCATCTCAATCTGCCTCTGCCTACAGTTAAGAGCGACACTAAAGTGGGTGAACTAAACTAGAGCAAGCTGGTTCTTCTGCTCAATCTTCGAGTACCAAGGGGAAGAAGGGTGACAGATAGGGAGGGGGAGTGGTGTGGGGATGGGGCTGGCTTGCTGGATTTTTTTATAGCCCCGGTAGTTCTCCTATTATAAAGGGACATGGCTGAACAGGTAGGAAACTGACTCCCCATTGTGAGTTCTCCTGATGGCTTCTGCCAGGATCATGGAGATATCGATCACCTGGAAAGTCACAGAAAACAGCAGGTTAGCATCATGGAGCACCACGCATGGAGGGGCTGTCCAACCAAGGGCCTCCATCTAAATTTCCGTGCTGTTTCCCCTCAAGTCAACACACTCCTAGTTATCCTAACATTTTCACTTAAATAAAAATTTATTTCCTGGGGCAGGAGAGATAGTACAGCAGGTAAGGCAGTTGCCTTGCATGCGGCTGATCCAGGTTGGATCCCCAGCATCCCATCTGGTCCCCTAAGAACCACTAGGAGTGATTTCTGATTGCAGAGTCAGGAGTAAACCCTGAGCACTGGTGGGTGTGGCCACCAAAGCAAAAAAGAACCCCAACTTTTTCTGCAGGGGGGGCTTGGGGTCCACAGTGCTCAGAGCTTATTCCTAGCTCTGTGCTCAGGGATCACTGCTTATTGTGCTTGCCACCACCGTGCTAGGGAACAAACTGGGCTGGCAGCATGCCAAGTAAGGCATCTGTCTTACTCCCTATACTATACTATTCCCCTGAACCCTCTTCCCAACATTTTAACTATAAACCACTTGAGAAAAAATCAAAATACTACTGAATAAAAAACCATGAGAGTAGACTGACATTCAAGTATTTTTTAAGAATTAAAAAAAATCTAAGCCAATAAAAAATCCTGAAGGAGGCCCAGTGATAGTACAGTAAGTAGAGTGCTTGCTTGCCTTGCACGTGGTCAACCCAGGCTCGATTCTTGGCACCTGATATGGTCCCCTGAGCCTGATGGCCAGGAATGATCTCTGATTGCAAAACCAACAGTAAGCTCTGAGCACCACTGCATGTGGCCCAAAATTTAATAAAAAAATCTTGAAGGACTACCCTCCAATTTGACATATTAAACCCAGAAAGCAAATGGATTGCTGTATTTTTTCCCTATTTTTTTTGCTACTCTCTGCTCTATGCTCAGGGGACCATATGTATTGGGGTTGAATTTGGGCCTCCTACATGCCAAGCAGACAGACACTCAGCCCGCTAACTCTCTCCAGGTCCTCAAAAGTGACTGTACATTTTTGGGGGGGGGCACACCAGTGGTGCTCAGGGGTTACTCCTTACTCTTCACTCAAGAATTACTCTGAGTGGGCCAGGAAAACCATATGGGGTGATGGGGATTGAACCCAAGCTGTATGCAAGGGAAATACTCTACTTGCTATACTCACTCTGGCCCCAGGTTACCGTACATCTTCAGTGAAGCAAAAGGCCACATTCTTTTCATGCAACAACACTCAACTGTTAGTGTCCTGGGTCTAAGTGAGAGCTTAATGAGCTGAAGCACATGCTTTGCATGCAGGCTAGGTTCAATTTCAGGCAACGGTGGGGTTAGCAGTGACATTCACACTGCGAATGAACGGGACGAATCCTGGGGTCCACTCTCAAGAGATTTTAAGGTTTGGACATTTGTATTTAATTTTTTTTTCCTTCTTTCACTTTTGGATCACAGATCTGACTGAGACTAAACCTTTAAATGCAATGGAAGCACTTTAGAAAATCCAGTCACCTAACTCAACATCTGTCATCACCACCTCCTGAGACTCTTATTTGGCAAGAGTCTCATCCTCACCTGTATTTTGGAGCAATGTTTCATCTTATCCTCTTGAGGTATGGTGTTGGTGACTACTACAGCTTCGAAACAAGCATTGTTGATGCGAGAAATGGCTGGACCCGAAAAGATTCCATGAGTCAAGATAGCATAAACTCTGGTGGCTCCAGCTGAGAGAAGTCTACAACAAAAAGCAGACTCAAGTTAGCTTCTTCTTACTTAAAGATTGCTGCTAGGAAGAAGAGCTATCAGTATAGGCTGCCGTCACAAAAAAAAGCCAGACTGGCTGGTTTAAAAATTTTGGATTTAGGGGCTATACAGGGCTTAAGGTGCTTACCTTGCATGTGGCCCTGGTTGATTCCCGGCATTCCATATGGTCCCACAAACACAGACAAGAGTGATTCCAGAGCAGAATCGGAAAAAGCCCTGAGCATCGTCTGGTGTGGTCCCCAAACCAAAAATAAACAAAAAAAAATCTAGATTTTTGGAAGATGGGTGTAGCTTAGTTGTAAAAGAGCCTTTCCCGGGATGTGTAAGGCCCTGGGACCTCATTGCTCCCTGAAGCAGCGCCAAGTGACTGAGCACTGAACTAAGTAAGAGTAGTTCCTGAGTGCTGCCATGTGTGTCTCCAAAATAAGCAAAAAAAGAAAGAAAGAAAGAAAGAAAGAAAGAGAGAGACAGACAAAGGATAAGGAAAAATGAAAAAAAAAAGCACAAAGCAAAAAGTCAGAATTTATTTTTCACGGGGCTAGATGCCGAGAAGTGTGACATCAAGCAGCAGTTAAGGTCTATTTCATTGGGGTGTCTTCCCTTGGTCTGCTGGCAGCTACCATCAGGCGGTGTGCTAACATGACCCCTGTATGTACACACATAAATGGAAGCAGTGCAGCAGTCAGCTTTCCATACTGTCCCCTAGAGACACCATCTCCTGAGGTTGGGCTGAACTCTTGCATAGGTGCGGGGTGGAAGCAGCGGGAGAGGGGTCAGGGGCGGTGTTTATTTTTCCAAACATTGCTCAGAGAGCCTGGGAGTCCTTCCAGAGATTCTCAGCCACCCTGGTTGGCAGACTAATTCGAGGTCCAGCGGACACAGTGCTGCCAAGGATCACCTGGGACACCTTCATGGTGCTTACGGCTCTCTAGGGCTGTTAACATCACCTAGGTGATGCTGCAGATTGAACTGAGCACATGGCTTAAGCCCCACATTATCTCTGTGGCCCGGGTAGTTCTTATAAAGGCACTTATTCCAGCATGGGGGCCCATCCTCGTGACGTCACATACCCATAATTACTTCCCAAAGGCCCTCTCTCCAAATAACCACCATACTGGGAATTGTGGCTCTACCTTCTGAGTGAGAGAAACAATTCAGTCAGTCCACAGCAACGAAAGAAAACTGGACTGAACACTTACCTGAAGGACTTGTGTAAAAGGACTCTGGCACAGGCTTTTAAACTCATTTAAACCCATCCCCTTGTCTGTCTGGGCACAGAGCCAGGCTGCATTTCCCAGGCTCCCTTGCAGAATAAGGTGAGGCTCCCTTGCAGAATAAGCTGACTTTATTCTGACTCCCACAATGTTGGCAGAGATAATGGACACCATCTACTGGGGTTGGGCTGAACTCTTCCATTGGTCATCCTTGTTCTGCTAGTCCCTTTTTGTCTGACTAACAGAAGTGTCTTCCAAGGTAATCTTGGAAGCCACCGTTTTAAAATACAACACAACTAGACTGAAAGAATAATACTGGTACTGAAGCACACCATGAAACAGAAATTTGATCATCTCAAGCCACTGACATTTCAGAGCCCAGCTATTTAGCTTTTAAGCGTCATTATCACTGATGAAGCAAAAATATTTGGAAACTCCAGGAACTAAACTAGGATTCAGTGGGCACAAAAAGATTCTTTTAGCACATATTATATGCTAGGCCTTGTGCAAAGACTGCATAATTAACTGAATGCTTTTTTTAAGCGATGAAGAGCAGGGCTGGAGCGATAGCACAGCGGGTAGGGTATTTGCCTTGCACTCGGCTGACACGGCCGACCCAGGTTCGATTCCTCCGCCCCTCTCGGAGAGCCCGGCAAACTACCGAGAGAATCTCACCTGCACGGCAAAGCCTGGCAAGCTACCCGTGATGTATTCAATATGCCAAACACAGTAACAAGTGTCACAATGGGGATGTTACTGGGCCCGCTCGAGCAAATCGATGAACAATGGAAGGACAGTGACAGTGACAGATGAAGAGTGATAGGTAGAAGGGAAATTTGATAGCGGTGAATGACACTTCAGAAATGAAAAAAAAGTTAACTCAGGACCAGACAGATCAGGGGCTAAGGCACTTCTCAGCAATGCAGCCAACTACAGTTTGATCCCTAGTACTGCATATGCATGGCCAGAGGTCACTCTGGAGCAGAGCCAAGAATAGCCCAAGCACCACTGGGTGTGGCACAAACCTTCTCAGTCAATTCAACTGGAACAGAAAACATAGGAAACACAATACTACCCATTGTAAACAGTGGAAAGCCACGAAATTTTAAAAGGAGTGACAGGAGCTAGCTTTAGCTAAGATTAGAAAGCAGGAAGGCAGTGTGAAAGATGAACAGAAAAGGTTATTAGAGATGGGTGACTGGAAGCAGAGAAAACAGAGGGAAGGCAAGTGAGTACAGTGAAAGCAAGAGATGGAAAAAGATGAATGAGAGAAATTGCTTGTGCTAAAAGAGACAGCTGGATGCGATCAAAGAGATAGTGCAGAAGGTAAGATAGATGCTTGCCTTGCATGTGGCTGATTTCCGGCACCACATTTGGTCCCTCGAACACAGATAGGGATCTATCATGAGCAGAGCCAGGATTGGATTAGACCTTGAATACTGTCAGGTGTGGCCCAAAACAAAATAAAGAGGTAAAACCAGTGTTACTTAGATAAAACATTAACTTTAAAATATTATTTCAGGCCTTACAGATTTCTTTTACTTGTTTCTTTTTAATTAAAAATTTTTAATTTTTTTTAACTAAGAGAGACAGTACAGGATTTAAGGAGATTGCCTTGCATTCAACTGGCCAAGGTTCTACTCCCAGCACCACATAAGGTCCCGGCAAGATAAGCATTTGCCTTGCATGTGGCTGATCTTGGCCTGATCCCCAGCATCACATATGGTACCTCAGGCATAGCAAAGAGCTAGAAATAGTCTTTGAGTACTACCATGTATGGACCCAAACACATCCAAAATAAAACAAAGAGGTAAAAATCAGTGTTACTAGTTTAGGTGAAATATTAACTTGAGAATATTATTTCAGGACTTATAGATTTCTACCTTTGTTTTCAATAAAAATCATGGGGCTAGCACCTTCACCTTGCTGCTCCACCATCCCAGGTGAAGCTAGTCTGGATGACATCACTGAGTCTATTCCGAAAAGGGAGGCAGAATCTCTCCCTACCAAGTGGGTCCCAGCTGCCTCCATTCCTAATGTGCGCCATATTAACATCCCACACCACAACTTCTGCCTGACCTCCTGTTTGCTGCTCTGTCGTGCCAGGTGAGTGCATCACTGGGCCTATTCTAGAAAAGGGAGCCAGAGTCCCAACCTATCGGGTGGGCCGCAACAGCCTCCACACCTGAAGTGCACCATATTAAGGGCCCACACCATGACTCCTGAAGTGAACTGCTTATGTGGCCACATGAAGATGTTTGTGACAAATTACACACTACTCACAGTTATGCTTCCAGTCATTCTGTGAGGACGGACAAAGAAAGAGAGCAACCTTCAATCTAATCCCTCAGCATCTTCCAGGGAGGTTATCTACAAAGACTCGCACCCAGCACAGCAATAACACTAGAAAACCAATGGGGGAAAATAACACAGAAGCCCACCAAATTCAATGAGCAAAAACAGCTACACCAAAGACATAAACAACACAAACTATCTCAGTCAATCCTCTGACAATGTCTTTAGTGATAATGTGATGAGGATGACCAATGAACTCAAAGCAATCATAGCACAGGTAGTCAGCAAAGCACAACAAAGTATGAGAGTTGAAGTGAGAAAACTATCAAAAGTGACAGAAATGAAGAACATGGTAGGTGATATTAAAAACTCAAGAGAAGCTCTGAATAGCAAAATAACAGCAGCTGAGCAGAAGATCAAGGAGCTCCAAGATGAGGAGGGAACTGATAGGAAATAGCAGAAGATGGAAAATAGAAAGTAATGCACAACATACCAGAGAAGTATGGGATGAGTTCAAGAGGAACAATATTTGAATCATCGGAATCCCTGAAGAACAGGAAGGCAATGTGATGAATAAACAATAATCATTGATAAGAATTTACTAGGGTTGAGGATTATAGGTGCCGAGAGCCAATCAGGAAAACTCTAAAAGATATTACACTCAAAATGACAAAATCGAAACACAGAAACAGAATATTGAAAGCAGCAAGATCAAAAAAGGAACTTAAAGGAAAACTCATAAGATGTTAACAGAATTATCAAATGAGACTCCATGAGCCAGATGAGTACAGAAGGATAAATTACAAAAATTCAACGAAATGAATACCTCACCAATACTCTACCCAGAGCTTTGTGGACAAGCAACACCTTAGGGAATTCATAGCGTTGGAACTAGTTTTTCAAGAGCTACATAAATTCACAGGAGAAACTGCTCGAGTTGATTATGGCACTCACTAATGATGTGTGGTTGTCCTCTACTAGACTAAGAAAGCTTAAAAACATATAGCAATCAATAATCACAAACTAACTTTTGCTGACTTATTTTCTGATAATTCTATTTGCCATTCCTTTAATTTTTACTAGAGCAAATAATATGAAATAAATTTGATGAATACCTTCCAATGGAGCAGGCTGTGGGGTGGGGTGGGGGATCTGGGAACATTGGTGAAGGAAAGGGACATTGGTAGCAAGATAGGTGTTGGAACATTGTATGCTTGAAACAACTCTATTATGAAGTAGGTAAGGTTCTGGCGTTGGCGAGGAGTGAGCTCAGAGGATGATCTTATTCATGTCAGAATGATTCCCTCCTGCCACTAGGAAGGAAGCGCATAAAAACTCTTATTTTAGATGTGAGAGAAAGGAGACTTAGTACTGCAAAAGATTTAGTCACACTTTATCTACTATTGGGGAATAGAAACATTAGGGATTTGATATGATTTAATTTTGATGTGTGTATATGAAGGATGGGGACCAGCTCTCAAGTGCATCTCAAGAGGTCTAAGGGGCCCACCAGCAATTCTTGATAAGACAGTTTAGCGGTTCCATGAAAAGGCAGGGATGCATTGCTACTTGTGCTCCACAGTGCTAGGGAACTCTCTGGACCACTCCTGCAGTGCTGGCTAGGCATATGGCCTAAGTGCCATACTATCTCCTGGCCCCCGCCTGTGGGCATTTTATCCAGCTGTACCAGCTTTCTAATTCCAGGCTCTCCATCATGTTCCTCCAATTCTACAGGAAATGCCCCAAGAATGAGCTAGGCTCTCCAGTTCTTGCAAACCTGGCCACTATAAATTCAGCAGGAAGCAGGGTTAGCAAAATGCTGGATATATGACTTTGAAGGGGGGGGGGTCCTTGGATGCCAATTTGGCAGCAGTTCCGAGGAGGGGAGCCCTCATGCCTACAAGGTGTTCATTCACACAGCTGAGAAATTTCGAGAGGAAACTCATGTGTCAGGGACTGTTCTAAGTGATGTGGGAATACAGTCAAGAAGCCAGACAAAACTCCCTAGCCTTGAGCAATAGTCCAGGGGTTAAGGCAGTTGACTTGCATGCAGCTGACCTGATTTCCATTCCCAGCATCACATATAGTCCCTGAATATTGCCAAGAGTGATCGATCCTGAGCACAGAGACAGTCAGAAGTAATCTCTGAGCACTGCTAGGTGTGGCCCCCAAACAAAACAAACAAACAGTCTGAACTGGAGTATTTAGAGGGCCAGGATATTATAAATCAGAATAGAGTTACACACTTTCAGGCATGACATACTGAGTTGATTTCTAGCAAAGTAGAATATTTAAAGACAAAATGTTGGAAAAATATTGAAAGGTTAAGGCTCTCGCCTTGCATGTGGCAATCCCTGGTTTGATTCTCAGCAGCACAAAAAGCAAACGAAAAATATTGCTTTGGAATACAGTAATGACAGTTGTACAACAATGAGAATGCAACCAATACCATTGTATTTTACCCTTTAAAAAGAGCAAATTTTATGTTACATATATTTTATTACAAATACACAGTAGTCAAAAAAACTCACAAAGAAATCTGAGGAGAAATAGACTGATTCAGGGCTAGAGATGTAGCTCAGTGGTGAAGCACAAGCTTTGCATGCATGAGGAGGCCCTGAGTTTGATGTCTTGGCACCACAAACACACAAAAACAATAAATAAAAACACATTAACTCCCCACTCCTCTCAACCACCCTACTCCAGACCCGGGAATCAAAATTTATATACAACATTCATCAATTGACACTGTAACTTAATCCTAAAGTGATGCAAAACTCCCCAGTTTAGTTCTCATCTCCTTATGAGATTGCCCAGATCAGCAGGCTTGAAGCCAAGGATAGTTCAAAGGGCTGGCATGCACACTTCCATGTGGGAATCACAGGTTCAATCTCTGGTACTACATGGCCCTTCCCCATCCCTGCCAAGCACTGCTGGCTGTGCCCACTCCCTGGCCAGCCGCCAAAAAGAACCTGCAGCTGTGACCTTTTCACTTCCAGTTACCGTGCCCACCACTCAGCACTCACTTGTCGGCTGCATGACAGATTGTGCCACAAGTGTCAGCCATGTCATCCACCAGGATGGCGACCCGGTCCTTCACATCGCCTACCAGCACCATGCGGTCCACTTCATTTGCCTTCTTCCGTTCTTTGTGAATCAAAGCAAAATCCACATTCAACCGGTCAGCGATGGAGGTCACTCTACAAAACAGTTTTTGCAGTTAACTCCTACATGTATGTGTCAAGAAACAGAAGAAAGAATGGGTGTGTTTGCTGGGGGAGAATATTCTGCGCAATGGAACATTTCCCAGGGTTGGAATAAAGCAATTTTGTGGGTATTTTTTTTAACAAAGACAAATGAATTTTTTTTCGTTTTATTTATTTAATTTTTATTAGTGAAACAACATGAAGTACAATTGTAGACTTCCAAACTTTTGCGCTTGGGTTTCAGTTATACAATGATCAAGTACCCATCCCTTCACCAGTGCCCATTATCCACCACCAATGATCCCAATATCCCTTCCACCCCCATTCCCCCATCCTACCCTGCCTCTGTGGCAGGGCATTCCCTTTTGTTCTCTCTCTCCTTTGGGGTGCTGTGGTTTGCAAATGAGGCATTGAGTGGCAATCATGTTCGGTCTATAGTCTACTTTCAGCATGCATCTCCCATCCTGGGAGGATCCTCCCAACACCCTTTCTTTGGTGCTCCCTTCTCTATCTGAGCTGCCTTTTCCCGTAGTGTGTGCGGCTGGCCTCCAAGCCATGGAGTAACCTCCTGGTACTTATCTCGGCTATTCTTGGGTGTTAGTCTCCTATTTTGTTACTTTATGTTCCCCAAATGAATGCAATCTTTCTATGTCTGTCCCTCTCTTTCTGACTTATTTCGCTTAGCATGATACTTTCCATGCAGTACCACTTGTATGTAAATTTCATGACTTCATCTTTTCTAACAGCTACATAGTACTCCACTGTGTAGATGTATTGTGGGTATTTTTTGAGGGGGGAGGGAACCCACACATGGTGGTAGTGCTCAGGAGCTATTCCTGGCTCTGTGCTCAGGAGTTTGCCGGGTATTTTAGGTTAAATTTCCTTTCACCAAAGTTCTGGTGAAGTTTGGAGGACCATATGTACGGTGTTGGAGGATTAGTTATGAGGTTGGACACAAACAAGCAAGTCAAGCCAACTTTACCCCTATCCTATTTCTCCAGTCCTCCTCCCTCCCCCACCCCTACAAAGTGACTGTTTATAGACTAATGCTTCCATATTCTGCGAGTGATTTATGGATGTATTAATCAAACTTAGTTCATATAGTTCATTCAGGGCTACAGTATGCATCAAATATCTCTGCCATTCCAAGGAAGCGTATCATGCCAAGACATGTTCATCTAATGGACTGAGTGTGGGACAGTGAGAGAGATTTGGTTAATTCTAGGGGTGCAGACTGCCCCAGTTTTCCCTGCAGGCGTGGTGGGAAGAAAACTGGAACCTGGCAGGAGCAGCCCACAGTTCCTCGCACTCCCCTCAGTGAACCAATGACAACAGCAACTGTACCTGGACACCCAGCTTAGAAATTTCCTTTTACAAGAGTTAGAAAGAAAGTGACACCTGTGAGCAAGGCAAATTGAGCACCACAAAGTCAAGTCTGAAAGTCAAAGCCATATTTTGCATCTTCTTTTTATGGAAATACAAGTCTGGCTAAACGGTGGGCCCGAAAATAAGTATGTCTGGGAACAAGGTACATATAATCTACCGAAACAAATTCAGGCTATGTAAATGCCATGTGCTGCCCAGTGTCATGCATGTAATTCCATGGTCTACATAGCCAGTCTCAACATACACACAGTGGCCTGGGCTTGTAGTATTGGGTTTTTGTTTTCTGTGGTACTGGTGATCAAATTCAGGTTGTCATAGTTAGCAATAGCCACATCTGGGTCATAGTTTTTTTTGGGGGGGGGAGGGAAGCGAGAGGGTTGGACCATTCCTGGCAATGCTCAGGGCTTATTCTTGGCTTTATACTCAGGGATCACTCCTATAATCTGTCGCACAAAAGGCAAATTCTATAAGCCCTGTACTAGCTCTCTCCCCCAAGCAGTCTATTGGATATTTGTTTTTGTTTTTTAGTTTTTAGGCCATCTCCTGCAATGTTTAGTGCTTCCTCCTGACTTTATGTTCAGGGATCACTCCTGGTGGTGGGTCAAGGGGCCATATGCAATGACAGGAGTCAAATGGCTCCAGGGGCCATATGCAATGCCAAGAACCATTTGCATGTGACAGGTGGCTGCAAGTCAGTGTCTTAACCCCTGTACTACCTCTGTGGCCCCATAGTTCTCTTTTTAATGCAGCACTAATCTAACCAGAGCATTATGTTCAATTTCCCTTGTGACTATGACCACTATCATAGTTCGAGGTGGATAGGAGAGAATCTATAGCCATGTAATTGAGAACATACAAGACGGATCTGCAGTCTGCCACTGGGTGGACCCTGAGCTAAATAAATGAACCACCCCCCATGCTTGCCATTCCAACTGTGTGCGCACACAGCTTGAACCAATTTGATTAGAATGATTACAAATTTGAGCTAAAGACATGATCAATTAGTTTAAGCATCACCAACCAAACTCAAGGGCCAATGAACTCAGTGTGTGACAAAGCAGAAAAGGAACTAGACAAGTCACACTCTGTGCCCTGAGAGGGGAATTATGTGCAAGTTACAATCACCCTTCTCCAAAGCCTGCCAAGATGGAAGCGAGAGCCACTTACTTTGAAAAGACTCCATCACTACTCAAAATTATAAACAAAACAAAATCACGCGGCAGTAACGTCATCTCCTGAAGGCAATTTCAACACTCAACTTGGGAAAGAAAATGCTGCCCGAATATTTCAAACATGACTCGTTCCTCAGCCCCATGGCATCATGTGGAAATAATGCCGAACAAGTTGAGACAAGTATGACAACCAGACCATTAGGGAGAAGATTTTAAGGGTCTGTCTCTGGTATTATAGATGGTAACCAGTGATTACATGAGACTCACAAAGCCATATATCTGGCTGGATAACAACTCAAATTCTCGGCTTATCAGTTCTGCTGAAGTTACTGACATAAAGAGGTTGTTGAGAAACAGTCACTGAAGATATGAATGGCTTTTAGAAAGACCTGAATTAGCTTTTCCAAACCATCTGTGTTTGTAGCTCTTCTTTCTATTTCCACAACAAGAAAAACATGTGTCACACTTCTGAATGCATTACTAACGAGTGATCCATGAAGGAAATCAGGAGCTTAGTTGGTGCTATGTGAGTTGCAAAGCACAGCAAATAACAATCCCTGACATTCAGTTTATTTAAAACGTTAAGATCTTGGCTATAAATAAAAACCTGTACTTTATTTTTCCTGCTTCATGTTTCAATACCATGACCAAAATGGTCTAACCAGGAGCATTGTAAGAAGTGTGTACAGGGGGTAAGGTGCTTGCCTTGCATGCAGTCTACTCCTGCTCAATCCCCAGCACCACATTCGGTCCCCAAAGCCCTATCAGGAGTGGCCTTCAGCACAGAGCCAGAAATAAGCCCTGAGCATTGCTGGTATGCTGCTCACCCCCATCAAAAAGAAAACAAGAAAAAAAGCTGTGTAAAATCTTACTACTATGCATTAATATGCATTCTATAGCAGATACTATTTTTTAGAAAACCCATTTTCCAATCCTTCCTGTCAGTTTTGTAGCAATGTTCCTGGCTCTTCAGTGCCAAATCACCAATGGGATATATTCAAGCCCACACTATCATTAACTATTTAAGGTCCCTTTCTTGATGTCCTGTTTTGCAGACAAGTGATTTGGGCCAGTTAAAAAGGAGGGGGTAAAACTCTACCCGACCCATATCCCGCTACTGATATATCTACCCTGAAGTGTCACTTAGAAAAATATCACCTTAAGGGGGAAGAGGGGGTGCTGGTAGTTAAATAGTACTGCTCAAGAGACCTGGGGCACTCAGTCATTCAGTTGGCAGTTCGATACAGGGGCCTGAGGATATGATGCTGCTTGGGCCATGTAATGCTGGGGTCACCCTGGCAGTATTCAGGGAATCTTTCCTGAAATGCTCAAGGGCTCTAGGGCTGTACCAATGGTCTGGGAACCATATGGTGCTGGGAACTGAGCCTAGGTGAGTTGTGCTAACAGCTATACTCTCTCCCAGTCCCCAAATATCACTTTCTGACCTAAGTATTTGAGATTTTCTCCTAGTATATTAGGAATATATTAATTTCAACCATACCTCTTAGCTCCACCAGCATCTGGTGAAACAATGGTACAGTTTCTCCACTCAGAGATGTTCTCTCGTATCCACTTGAGGACAGCTGGCTCTGCATAGAGATTGTCCACTGGGATATCAAAAAAGCCCTGTAGAAAGACTCTGGGTTAGTTTTAGTTCGTGGTCCTCTTCTGTTTATAGAAGATGGACACAAAGAGAATATGGTAACTTGTCCAAAGACTACCATTCATACTGGGGGGCTGGAGATATTATACAAGGGTTAAGGAGCTTGCCTTGTGTTTGGTCAACCTGGTTTGATCCCTGGCACCATATAGGGTCCCTGAGTACAGAGTCAGGAGTAATCCCTGAGCACTGCAAAGCATGGCCCCAAAACAAAAAAAAGACTACAATACTGCAACATTCAAATCAACCAGAATGAGTGCTCAGTGTGGTAGATTGTACAATGGCCTCCTCTGTTCTGACTGCATGAGAGAAATCACAGCCACAACTGTAGAACTGGTCCCTAGCTGAAAGTTGACTGAGTTAGTGCTAGGTTCTGAAGCAGGGCCAAGTTCAGCCAAGATAAGAACTACCCAGCCATGTGCTCATACTTACAACCATGAGGTCATACTTCCTGCCCTATGTCACTCAACATTAAGCTGGTGTGTTAGGTGCAAAAATTAATCAGTGAATTAGTTTGAGATGCTAATGATATACTAACTTAATGCAATATAATTATAATAAACCATTGCTGAGTAACTGTGTTAGATACTATAAGTCTCAAATGATAATTATTTGAATGTTTCTTGAGTATGGTACTCACTCATTGTACTTAATGGTTGCCCTCTAGTAAATTAAGGTATGTTTACTTCTAGATTGCTAATGGATTTTATACATTTTCATAAAGCAGTAATATCACATTTGTATTGAATACTGTAAATCTTATATCCATAAGGTTTTTATATCCATAAAAGTTTTTTTTTGCAATTTCTTATGTGTCTGCATTAGCAGACACTTAAACAGTATCTGTAATACAGTATTTTCTAATATAAAACCAACATTTCCTTTCTTAGGACAAAACACTTTTCACTTTAATAGGCCTAGCCCTTTAAAATCTTTGTTTTGTTCTTGTTTCTTTGGGCCACGCCCAGTAATTCTCAGAGCGTGCTGGCTCTGCGCTCAGGGATCACTCCTGGTAGGGCTCAGGAGACCACATAGGATGCCAGCAATGTACCTGTGTTGGCCACGTGCAAGGCCTTCCTGCTGTACTATCACACCAGCACTTCCTTAAAATTTTCTGAATTCTCTTCATTCTTACTGAATTTTACACTTGTAGGCTTTACGTAATTCATGTAAACTCCAAATCACATTAGCACAGAATTTAAAAATCTAGTTTTTTTTAATGGCAGGGAAGAGACAAGATTATTACCACAATGATACCCAAATACAAAATATAATGCAATGTATTTTAGATTCCAGAGCTGAAAACTTATTTATGTAAATGAATAGGCATTATATTTGTATTAAATCATTTGAATTTTTACAAAGGTTAAAACCATATAGCAATAGATCATCACAGATGAACTTTCATTGCTATCTTTTTACCTTTTTTTTAAAAAGAAATTTAATATTTTTTAAAAGGTTTTTGGGCCAAGCCTGGCAATACTCAGGAGTTACTCCTGGCTCTGCACTTAGGAATTACTCCTGGGTGGTGCTCAGAGGACCATAAGGGATGCTGGGTATTGAACTCGGGTCAGCCATGTGCAAGGCAAATGCCCTACCCACTGTACTTTTGCTCCAGCATCTACTGATATATCTGCTAATAATTTCATTTGCCATTCCTTTAAGTTTTGTTGGAGCAAGCAATATGAAATAAATTTATTATATGCCTGTGAAGAAGAAGGCTGGGGGTGGGGGTAGAAAGAAAACTGGAGGCACTGGTGAAAAAAAGGTCACACTGACTGCAGGATTGGTGTTGGAACATTGTCTACCTGAAAGTTTTATTATAAATAACTTTGCAAATCATGGTAGGGTATTTATTGGTTTTTTTTTTTGTTTGGGTTTTTTTTTTTTTTGCGCTTTTTGGGTCACATTCAGTGATGCTCAGGGGTTGCTCCTGGCTCTGCACTCAGGAATTACTCCTGGCAGTGGTTGGGGGACCACATGGGATGCCGGGGATTGAACCCAGGTTGGCTGTGTGCAAGGAAAATGCCCTACCCACTGTACTATGGCTCCGGCCCAAATCATGGTGTTTTAATAAAATTGCAAAATTATTTTTACAAAAAAATTAAATGAATTAAAAGATAGCTGCCCTCTCTGTATACTCTGGTTTATGCTAAGAAACAAAGTCCTGGCCTAATACTGTTGATAATTCTGGAAAATGCTTAAAAACTTTAAGCAGTACTTTCTGATGTAGTAAACAAAAGCAAGTTCCACGATAACTTCCCTAAGCACTGCTACGAAGCCCCTGAGCACTGCCTGGCATGGCCTACCCTCCCCAAAACAAACCAAATATTCCATTTTCTTCTTTCTAACTTTGTTTTTGAGGCCACTCATGGTAGTTCTCAGGGATTAATCCTGGCTCTGCATTCAGGGATCACTCCTGGCAGTGCCTAGGGGACCATATGGGGTGCTAAGGATTGAACCTAGGTCAGCTGCATGCAAGGCAAGCACCTTACTCTTCATACTAATTTACTAGCCCCAAAACTATTTTTTTTGTTTTCTCAGTAGTGGACAAGATTTTTTTCCTCACTGGTGCTTAAATGAAATGATTGGAAATAAACAGTCTTATTTGAGAACCTCCAATACCCAATGCTTCTAAATTTAAGACCCAAGGAGAATGAGAGTAACAAGACACATTTATTACCTGACACGATCTAAGCATTACACTATGAATTTGAGAGCTTACTGAACTTCTGAAGAACAAAGCAGGGTCAGAAAGGTAGCTCAATGGGCTGAAAAGGAGCTCAGTGGTTTGCATGCTGGAGAACTGGGTTCAATCCCCAGCACTGACATGGTCTCAACATGAAGCACAGAGCTGGGTGTGCCCTCCCCTAAAAAATAAACTTCACCCTAAAAAATAAACTTTAAAGCAGCAGTGTATGTCTAACAAGTTAAATATCTACACATAGTCACAAAGCGGCAAGCATAATACTAGTTAACTATTCAATATTGTATTTACTCAATGGAATATGCATAACAAAATACCTACAACAGTCTTCTGAGGCTCCCTCCCTAGCCAACCCTCCCAAATGACAGATCATGAACTATGCTTAGACTAATAGATTTAAAATATTGTCAGGGTGAGATTTATCTGAGCTGTTACTTGGGCACTTTTTGGCTTCTCTGTAGTCTTCAGCAATATCAGTCTTCTCTCACCTTCTACACCCGCAATATTGAGCTCCCACCGATACCTGAATTTGGGAGGCATGAAGGTCCATAGTGATAATATGGTCTGCACCTGCTACAGAAAGCATATTTGCAACAAGCTTGGCTGATATTGGAGCTCGGCTCTAATGAGAGGGGAAGAAAGAAAAAAAAACAAGTTAATTTCAGAGATAATCCACTCACTCAGTCAAAAGCATTTACATGTAGTACACCTGCTATGTATACGGCACTGAACTACAAAGGAAATTCATAGAAATGAACGTAGCTGTGGACTCTAGTCTAGCACAAATTCTAGGCTGCCAAGTATCGCTTTTCCAACTCAGGACATGTTTCGGAAAAGAAAACACTTTCATTACCTTTTTATCATATTTCTTTTTTATTGCGGTACTGAGAATCAAATTTAAGACCTCACACATGCAAGATGAGAGCTCTATGGCTAAACTACATCCCCAGTTCTGAAGCTTTTATCTTCCTAATACATAAATTCCCAGACTTTCCAAGTGTTACTCAATACTCAATGATTTAAACTGGGTTAACTTAAAATGTCTTTTGAAGGGCTAGAGATGTGGCTTTGTGGAAGAGTATATGCTGTGTGCAGGGAAGATCTGAGTTCAATCCCAAACATTACAACACCCCCCCCCAAAAAAAAACAGCAACAAAAACAAAATAACAAAAAGGGTTCTATAGTTCTACTGGGCGAGAGAGAAGGTATAGGAAATAAGGCTCTTGTTTTGCCTGAGATGCTTTAACCACAACCCCTGATTTGATCCCTGGACCACATCTGCTCCCCACCCCTCCCCGCCCAGCTCTGCAAAGAGTAGCTGCTGAGAACAGAGCCAGGAGTAAGCCCTGCACACTGCTATATGTGGCCCAAAAAAACAAAACAATAAATTAAAAAGAAAGAATCTCACTAAATTTTTTACTGCAAACAGCAGCGAAAGCTCTTGCCTTGCAAACAGCTGCAGTTGTGACACTGGTTCAAATTCTGGCACAGAATATGGTCCTCTAAGTATTACCAGGTGTGGCACCAAAACCAAGTAAATAAATAAATCTAACCTATACAGGGAATCTTTATTTTGGGGGGGGGGGGTCGACACCAGCAAAGCACAGGGGTTACTCCTGGCTTTGCTCTCAGGAATTACTCCTGGTGGTTCTCAGGAGACCATATGGGATGCTCTAAATCGAATCCGGGTCAGCCGTGTGTAAGGCAAATGCCATACCTGCTGTATTATCACTCCAGCCCCTAACCTATATGGGGAAACCTGCCATTGTATCTGCCATGTCAACTCTGACATACAGATCATGAAATAGAGTAGTTTTTGTAAATTCATGTGCAGAACAACCTTCCTGCTATCATAGTCCCCTGAAGGAAGAGGAAAATGAACACACTACACTATGAAATGGCTACACCCGTGCCTTTGACATTGTGCTCAGTGGGAACACTACTCCAATGGTCTTCAACTTTTCGACTCCTGCATACTGGTCCACAAACTAGCACTAATAAGTAAAGTAGTATATTGGTGTTTTTCAACCTTTTTCTGTCTGCGGACTAGCACTGGTCCATGAACTGGTGGTTGAAGAACACTGTTGTACTCTACCAGAATAGAAATACTTAGCCTTAGGCTGGAATGATACAGTGGGTAGGGCATTTGCCTTGTATGCTGATGGTCCTGTGTTCAATCTCTGACACCCCTTATAATCCCCTGAGCACCGTCAGGAGTGATCCCTGAGTGCAGAGCCAGGAGTAAGATCCCAGCATTGCTGGATGTGGTCCAAACACAATAAACAAGAAAACCAAGCACACATCTGTCCTTCTCCCATGGTAAGACCTGGACACCAAGTATGAACAAATTAGAAAGTTTTATACAAGGTAGAAAGTTTTACACGCATGTCTTATTCTTTAATAGAGGAATAGATGTCTATGTGTGTGTCTGTATGATGAAAGTCAATGTTATATTAACATGATGATGTGTTAATTAAACTGAATTCAAATGTGAGCCATCAGTGATACAAACCAGCATCAGCGTGCTGATTAGTGACATTAGTAACATTAGTAACATAGCTTACATTTTATGAAGAGGTCAATTAATAGCCTACAAGGTCCCAGAGGACTTATGACAATTTCAAAAGGATTCTTTTTTTCCCAAGAAAATGTTTGCTTTATTTATTTATTTTTGCTTTTTGGGTCACACCCGGCGATGCTCAGTGGTTACTCCTGGCTCATGCACTCCTGGCAGTGCTCAGGGGACCATATGGGATGCTGGGAACAGAACCCAGATCAGCCACGCAAGGCAAACGCCCTACCCACTATGCTATTGTGTCAGCTCCTCAAAAGGATTCTTATGAGGGCTGGAGAGATAGTACAGTGGGCAGGGTGCTTATCATGTACATGGACAACCCAAGTTCTAACCACAGTACTGTATATTATCTTCTGAGCCACACCAGTACTGAGTCCTGAACACAGACCAAGGAGTAAGACAGGCAGATCTGGCCCAATAATCAAAACGAAAAAAGATTCTGGGATCAGAGCAATAGTACAGCAGGTATGGTTGTTTGCCTTGCATGCAGCCCACCTGGTTTAGATTCCTGGCTCCCCATTTGGTTCCTCACAGCCTGCCAGGAAAGATCCCTGAGGCAGAGCCAGGAGTAAGTCACAAGCACCGCTGGGTGTGGCCCCAAAATTAAAACAAACAAACAAAAAGAATCTACTCTACTGGCTTTAGAGCTTAATCTTCCTGACACAAATTAAAATTTAGTGAGCTGAGTCAGTTCAATGCACTAAGCATAGGCTTTACGTGCAAGAGCCCTGGTATTTATTTTTTAATAGAATTGCCTAGAGACAGACCATCACAAAGCTATTCATGATTGGGTTCCAATCATACAATGTTTCAAAACCCATACTCCCTTGCACCAGTATACATTTCTCACTACCAATGTCCCCAGTTTCCCACCAATCTACCCCCACCCACCTATCTGGCAGGCACCTTTCTTCTTGTTCTCTCTCTCTCTCTCTCTCTCTCTCTCTCTCTCTCTCTCTCTCTCTCTCTGTGCATTATGGTTTGCAACTGGGTGACAGCTCTAGGTTGTGACTGTGACTGCCAGGGCTTCCAGAGGTACAGGAAGGTGGGAGAGAATCTGGAGATTTCAGTCACAAAACCCGCATCCTGGTACAGTCCATCCTGAGATGGTGGAGTGTGGCTGGGAGCATGGTGGTGATTTTGAATTGTGGGAACAAGTGGCTTCTGGGGGCTCAGCTTGGGTGGGCACTGGAAAAACGCCCCCCTTTGATGTACTCCATTTGTATAGCTTTGTCTGGGTCCAAAATTAATTACGGCTTCTGATCTCTTTCAAGATTTGTCTCTGAAGCAAGGACGGAAGACCTTTCATGGTGTTGCTAGAGTTGGTTCACGAGGGCACTGCCGATGCTTTCAGGGATATAGGGAGGTGTGGAGGGATAGCCCATCCTGAATCTAAGAAAGCCAGGAGATTTCAATCACAAAACCCACATACCCAAATTTTCAGCAGATTAATATCTCGATGAGGTTTGTCCTCAACAGTGGAATATGGTTGAGGTTCTGGCGCAACTTTGGATTGGGAAGGCAAGTGGCTTCCAAGAGTTCTACTTGGGTGATCGCCGGCAAACTCCCCCCATGTCCCCCATTCCCATTCCCAATGTACCCTATTTGTATGGCCATGCATGGGTCTGAGATTAATTTCAGTTTCTGATCTTTCGAGATTTATTTATGGGATTCTGAAGTATGGCTGGTAATTGAGCTTATATGGCTGAGCCAGACTTGGTTTGAGCGCGTAGCTCCCACGCTAATTTTTGGAGGGCTAATAATTCCTCGGGAAACTTGGTCCTTAGTCGCTGGGAGTCCAGACAGAGGCACAGAGGCTATTTTGGGGTATGAGGAAGTATAAGGGCACCATCAGGTTGCTAATTCCTTCACCCTGTGGGTCCCGGTTGACCTGCCAGGAGTGCCATACTCCCTGGACCCCAGTACTGACAGCAACAGTGGACTCAGTAGGAACCAGGACCTGGTCCAGGGCTGCTACAGTATGCTGGCTTGGGCACTCTGGGCAGGTTGCAGCCACCAATCCAGCAGAACCTGACACCCCCATTTTCAGTCTCCAGACAGTTGGCACTGAGGGAGAATTTCCTCCATAATATGCTGTGGGTGGTGTGGGCTGGTCAGGGGAAGAAATGGGGATGGGGCTGCCCCGCTGACAGTGAATCATAGGGGCACCATGGTGGGTACCCAGAGCATCTCCTCAACTCTGGGACTTCAACCCCCGCACTCGACAGTGGTGCCGAGTCAGACCTGAAGAGCCCTGTTCAGACCCCTTAAAACTCTACCGCTGCCCACAGTGCCAGAGTTGTCACACCTCCTCCACCTTCAGCATTGCCATACTCAGTCAGTTTCCTTTTCATTTAATGGGACTCTCCCTGAGCCAGAAAATCCAAGGTACCCACGTTCATTCACGCAGAAATTCTGTGCCCCATTCGCTGTTCAGAGCACTGAGAGCTGAGAGCTGCCCCCTCCAGCGCTTGCTGCTGTGTCACCGCCATATTATATTTGGAAGCTCCCTTGGGCAAGTTTTAACAAAAATAAACACCCCCTGTGAGCCTCAGGGGCGAGGGTAGGGGAGACTGCCCTTGGAGGCCAGCCCTGTAGTCAGCTTCCCAGGCTCCCGGCCCAGCATAGTGGCCACAGATCAGCCTTCACTTCTGGGAGTCTGGGTTTTGATCCCCAGCACTGCATGTTCCCCCCAGTCTTATCCAAACCAATGAGTACACATATACATACACATACACACATATATTACAGATGTGTAAAGGTAAAGGTAAAGGTAAAGGCCCTCCCGTTGATCGTCGATTTGCTCGAGCGGGCCCAGTAACGTCTCCATTGGAGACTTTGTTGTTACTGTGTCTGGCATATCGAATACTCTCGGTAGCTTGCCGGGCTCTCCGAGAGGGGCGGAGGAATCGAACTCGGGTCAGCCATGTTGGCTGCGTGCAAGGCAGACGCCCTACCCGCTGTGCTATCGCTCCAGATGTGTAGCTCAATATAAACTAATCTGTTAGGTCATAGGAAGATCAGACATTACATAAGAAATGATCCTGGTATCCTCCCAGGAGGGGAGATGCATGTTGAAAGTAGACTATGGACTGAACATGTTTGCCACTCAATGCCTCTTTTGCAGACCACAACACCCAAAAGGAGAGAGAGAACCAAAGGGAATGCCCTGCCACAGAGGCAGGGGGGGATGGGGGGATGGGGGTGGGAGGGATATTATCATGGTGGTGGAAAATGGGCACTGGTGGAGGGATGGGTATTTGATCATTGTATAACCGAAACCCAATCACAAAAATTTGTAAATCTACAACTGTACCTCATGGTGTTTCACTAATAAAAATAAATAAATAAAAATTTAAAAAAAAAAAAAGAAATGATCCTGGTGACAAAGGAATTTTTGTACTTTGGGAAAGTGCTCCTGCTTTCCTGATTTAAAAAAATTTGGGCCAGATAACTCTATTTGCTCCACTAGTAGTAATCTCTAAGTATAAACCTGAGGTAAGCACTGAGCACCACTGAGTGGGGCCTGAAAACAACCAAATTGAAAAAATTTATGTTGAATCACTGTCTGAGATATACAAATGTTTATGATTGAATTTCAGCCATACATTTCAATGCCCATCCCTTCACCAGTGCACATTTCCCACCACCCCACCCATCCCCACAGCCTGCCTCTATGGCAGGCCTTTTCTTCTCTCTCTTTATCTCTTAATTTCCTTTCAGGCACTGTGGTTTGCAATACTGTTACTGAAAGAGTATCATGCATATCACTTTACTTCCTTTCAGCACTCAGTTTTGTCCAGATCATTTCTAACTATCACTATGGCAGTGGTCCAATCTCTGTCCTAAGTTCACTCCCGTTCCAATTTTGTAGCAAGCTGCCTACCATGGACAAGTCCTCCTAGCCCTTGTTTCTACTGTCTTTGCCTTAGCCTTTTTGGAAAACAATATGGACATTCCTCAAAAAATTAGAAATTGATCTTCTATGTGACCCAGCAATACCACTTCTGGGAATATGTCCTAGCGGCAGAAAGGCCACCTGTGCTCCTATGTTCATTGCAGCACTGTTCACAATAGCCAGAATCTGGAAACAACAAAAGTGCACAAGAACAGATGAGTGGATAAAGAAACTATGGTATATCTACAGCTGTCAGGAAAAATGAAGTCATGAAATCTGCTTATACATGGAGAGTATCATGTTGAGTGAAATGAGTCAGAGGAAAAATGACAAATATGGAATGATTGCACTCATTTGCTGGATAAAAAATAGTACGTGAAAAACAACCAGTTTTTTAAAAGAATTCTGCTTCTACCTTATCCTTCTTGTCCTGTCTTGCGTAAGGGAAGCACGGGATGACCGCAGTAACTCGGCTGGCTGACGCGATCTTGCAGGCATTAATCATGATCAAAAGCTCCATGAGGTTATCATTGATTTCACCACAACCACTCTGAACAATGTAGACATCCTCTCCCCGAACACTTTCACCAATTTCCACACTAAAAGGGAAAAGCAAAGACAAAAACAACACATTTTTAAGCACTACGTTGGATTTCTACAGACAGCAGCAATCAGTAAGGTCTAACAAGTACACAACCCTACAGGTATGTTGTAAATGGGCTACAGATGCATGTGCCACGGCTGCCCCACTTTGCCTTCAGGACATCCCCCTCAATGTATGATCAAAATATTACCTTCTTTTTCTTTTGGCTTTTGGGTCACACGTAGCAGTGCTCAGGCTTACTCCTGGCACTGCACTCAGGGATAACTTCTGGTGCTGCTCGGGAGACCATATGTGGTGCTATGGATCAAACCCGGATTGGCTGCAGTCAAGGCAAGTGCCCTAATCCCTGTACTATAGATCTGGCTTCAATAATTTAACATGACAAAGACAGACCAAAGAGCTTACAAGCAATTGCATCAACCTTTCCGTAGGAAACCTGAACCTAATTTCCTTCATATATAGCACATGTGAATGCAGAGTTGATTCAGCAGCTAAGTTTGTCACATATTTAGCAAAAGAAGTAAAAAGGTCCTATGAGAGACGAAGCACTACTATTTGGTGGTGATGCCAACTACAGAAGATAGTGCACTCCTAAAATATTAAATAAAGGGGGGGGCCAAAGAGACAGTAGAGCAATTAGGGTGCCTGCTTTATATGCGGCCAACCTGAAATTTGAAATGGAATAGAGTATGGACTCCTCACCCCCACCCCACCAGGAGTGACTCCTGATTGCAGAGCCTGGAGTAGGCCCCGAACACTGCTGAATGTGGCCCCAAAACAAAACGAGAAATTTCAGAGTCTTACATGCAGCTGACTCCAGTTCAATTCTCAGGATTATAGAGACTCCTGTGAGCACTGTCAGGTGCCACTCTTGAGTGCAGTACCAGGAGTCACCTGTGAGCACCACCAGGTGTGGCTTAACATCCCCCCTCAATTCTATAAGATATTCCAATTTGGAACAGGGGTATTTTACCGTAAAATACGTTTTAATATCCATAATTTGATTCTTATCAAGAATAAAGTATGAGGGATAGTAGAAGGCTCAAGGAGCTAGAGTTCATACAGAGCATGAGGGAAAGCCAGATTCAGTCCCCAACACTGCATGGTCCTCTGAGCACAGCTAGGAGAGTCTCCTGAGAACTGGACCAGGAGAAGTCCCAGAGAGTATGACCCCCTTAAAAACAATGATTAAAAACAAGACAACTTGGAGTTGGAGAGAGACAGTATATCGTATAATATGTGTGCAAGCAGGGTTTGATACTCAGCATGAATATGGGCCCCTGAGTCAGCCAGGAGTAATCCCTGAGCACAGACCCAGAAATAAGCTTTGAGCATCACTGGGTGTGTTCCAAAACCCAAAATAAATAAATAAACCACCTCAGGAACCAGGGATATAGCTCAGCTCTAAAACATTTGTCTTGCTTATTGGAGGAGGAAGGGGAGGAAAAATGTCCCATTGCTGCTATGTAAGCTCATCTACAAGCCTTGTTTCAGAGGACTTGATAAACTGTGAAAGAGATCAATTAGCCACAAAAATTTCTTGGACATCCATTCCTGGCTGACACATCTGGGGCGATCATAGATGGGGGTGGGCCAGCTCCCACCCAAACAAAACCCCTGGGCAGCCACTCCCACACCCCAAAGCTGCAGTCATGCCTCTGGCTGGACTGCCCAATTAAATAGTCTGGATTTTCTGGACATCTTCAAACTCTGCAACACTGGCATCCCAGTAGTAGCACACCAGATTGGATGGGATATAATGCAGAAGCCAACCAATCTTGACTAACAAAAACATTAACACAGAAGGCTGACACAACGGCTTAGTAAACCCTCAAAGACTTAATGTCCCTAAGGTGAGATACAATTTTCACAAATTTTCTTCTATGGGAATATTTTTTGATCATTTCTTTAGCCATTTAGTGGTAACGAGCAATATAAAATAAATTATTGTAGGCCTCGATGAGGGCAGGTTTAAGGGGTGGTTAGGAAAATGGAGACAATGGTTGAGGGAAGATTTCAGTGGTGATGGGATTGGTGTTTGAATACTGAATGTCTGTAACAAATCATCATGAACAACTTTATAATGCATGGTGTCTAAATAAAGTGGAGGAGAAAAGAAATACAAATAAATAAGACTTTGAAAATAAGTGAATATAAACTTAAAATAAAAGTGAAGTCAGGGCTTAGTGGTGACACCTGAGGGCAACAGCATATTCCCAATTAACATTCTAGGTGAGTTGGGGATGTTTGTGGGCAAGAGTGCACGCATAGCTGTATACAGATGAAGAGTAGATTAAATGGTGGATTCCCCCACATCATGAATGAAGAAAGCTTCTTCAACAGGATATAATTCCATTACCAGAAAAGTGTATATAGGGGACAATTATTTAATATTTATTCTTTCTCTATTCGAGTAGAGTTGGAAAGATAGCACAGTGGGTAGGGTGTTTGCCTTGCACATGGCCAACCCAGGTTTGATTCCTCTGTCCCTCTCAGAGAGCCCGGCAAGCTACTGAGAGTATCTTGCCTGCACAGCAGGGCCTGGCAAACTCTCCATGGCATATTCAATATGACAAAAACAGTAACAACAAGTCTCACAATGGAGATGTTACTGGTGCCCACTCGAGCAAATCGATGAACAATGGGAGGACAGTGCTGCAGTGCTATTCACGTAACGATTAGAAGGATCCTTTTTAAAAAATAATGAACAGGGCATGCTTTTGTTATAAATAAAATGCAGAGAGGGGAATAAATGAAACCAATAAACTTCTAGGAAGACCAGCCCAAAACTGGTTCACTGCATTCTATAAAAAAAAAAGAATGAACACAACTTTGCACAACTTTTCCCAGAAAACAGATGAGATGAGAATATTTTTTATTTTTTTTTTCTTTTTGGGTCACACCCATCAATGCTCAGGGATTACTCCTGGCTCTGCACTTAGGAATTACTCCTGGTGGTGCTTGCGTGACCATATGGGATGCCAGGGATGGAACCTGGGTGAGCCACATGCAAGGCAAATGCCCTACCCACTGTACTATCACTCTGGCCCCAGAGATGAGAATATTTTCAACTCATTTTATAAGATACATCTCACCTAGAGGCCAAAACCAGACAAAGGCAATTCAAAACAAATGAACAAGAAGGGAAGCAGAAAGGTAGAAAAGAATCTTTGTGGCACATAAAGATTGCTTTGCTTTTATTTTTCCCCCATATCTTGGTTTTATCAATGCTGATACCCTAGTTGTCACATTACAACAGGATTTTGGGGGCTTACTTCTGACTCTGCACTCATGGAAAATTACTGGTGGGTGCAGGGAACCATATGGGGTCCCAGGGATGGAATCCAGTCAGCGGCATCCAAGGCAAGCACCATATCCACTTGTATTATGGCTCTGGCTCTATGCAGCAAAAAAGGGCTACATATTTATTAAGCATGTTTACAAAAGCAAAGAACTGAAAATAACCAAAGTACCCCCAGACATATGATATAAAGCAAAAGACCGGAGTCAGGTTGAAACTCATCCAGGGCACCATGGAATAGGGTGTGTGAGCCCTCCACCAACCCCAGCAACCGAAAACCTCCAGAACCCAATTGCTGCCATGCTCAAAGCTGATCTCTACAGGCTTGGGACAAGCCTCATCCCTGAATGAATTTGTTGAAAAGCTCAAGTATGCAGGTTTCGTGACCAAAATCTCCAGGCTCTCGGGGAGTCGGGGATGGGAATCTCCCCCCATCCCCGTTCTTCTGGGAGCCTGGCAGTCATGCCTATAAACTGCCCCACTGTTATATATATATGGTCATTATCTGGCCATGATCCAGAGACTCATAAATAAATCTCAGAGATCAACAAGCTGCAGATATGTCTCCAGACCACAAAGCCAGCATCCATTAAAAATTTAACTCCAGCTGCATCACCCTATTTAAAATTTTAGAATTCCTGGAGTGCACAGTTATGTGACATCTCATACTCAATACCACTGATGTATCAGAAGAAGCACACCACTTTGGATGGGATGTAAAGTAGAAGGCAACAATCTCGATGAAAAAGAATTAGCACACAAGGCTCAATCTTTTTTTTCTTGACTCTTTGTACCTCCTGTACTAAATGTCCAACATTTTCTCCAAGATATGTAATTTGTTTAAAAGCCTGGTAAATTGGTACATAAAGTGCATACTTGAGTGAACCATTATTGCAGCCCTCAATAAAAACTGAGGTCATAAAACTATTACCGAAAGCAAAGATACTGCTGGAATTAAGTCAAAACAACCTAGTCTGTTGGTTAGATTAAATTTCATAATTTTTCATAAATTTAAGTAAGACTGAAGAAATTTGAAGACCTTTCATTTGAAGTTAATTGAAAAACAGCTTATTGCCAAATACTGTCTCCCTAGCTTACCCTGCAACACTCACAGCCTAGCAAGTCCCAAAATGAGCAAGACCATCCAGGGCACAGCAGCTGCCTCAGATGCCACTAGGCACACAGGTTCAGGTGGGGGAGATGGGGAGGGCGCTGAAGAGGTGGATTTTCTGTTTACTTAAGGAATGTGGATTTCCAGGGGACAGAGTGATGGTTTATTTTCAGTTTTTCTTCCTGCTGAGTGATTTTTCTTTCCCTGAAAGTGGGCATTAGGCCAAATAAAATGGGGGACCCTGAGTCATCACACTGCCTTCCTTGAAGTTCCTCGAATGATATACCCATTCGCACTTCACAGCCTGCACATGTCTTCCTACCATGAAGAATGACCTTTCTACAACCTGCTTGCTCATGCCTCAGCCCGCCAATCTAAAACATCTTTCTTCCCTGACCAGCTTATTAACAGGGACTTCTGGGGCCAGAGAGTTAGTACAGAGGGGGAGGCAGGCTTGCCTTAATATGACCAAGCGCAGTTACATCCCATTAAAGGTGCCTCAAGCACCACCAGGAGTTGATCCCCTGGGTACAGAGCCAGGAAGAGTCCCAACCCCTCCCCCACAATGAATAATTAAAGTGAC